ATATATATATATAGGCATGCAATAAACTTACCCACGGCCCAGAAAGTAGGCGCGAATCGTCTAGTTACACCCTCAAACTAAAGGTTGAAGGTTCGGATCCCACAAAAGTTTTGTGAGCTATGCACTACTAATGATTACAAAAAGTGCGAGAGCAGGTACACAGGTCCAATCGGCTTCTCAGTACCGGATCATCCGGATTAATAGCTAAAAATTACAAAAAGAACGTCTCTGTTGCTGGGGTTTTCTGGACTTCTGAGACATAAGTCTAACAGAAAGTTCAACGAGACATGCTAAATCGCGCGTAAAGATGGAGCTATAGAGTAGCAAAAACAAGATACTTATGTTCGCAATAAGCTACCAAAAAATTGTCATTTCAGCTGGACGTGGTCACGTGATGTAGGGCGTATATCCATGTGTTGAAATCTTTGGCGTGCAAGTTGGCAATCAAAGAGCTTAATGAACCTAGACAAGTATGAAAAGGGAGCAGAAGATTGCAATCCGGAAGAAATGACTTAAAAAAAAGACGCAATTGATAGGGTCTCTTGAATGAGGGGCTCCGAATAAACAAACTCCGGGAACTCGCCTATCAAGTCAATCCAGAAAATGAAGGGCATAGCACAGTAAAATAGGCCAACTCACGCAGTGGTTGTTTGCACTGATTCACCGTTCCTGAGGGAAGAACGCGAACAGGCTTCGGACATCTTCGCCCCATGGCGCAAGTCAGGAGCGGCGGTAGTGGCAAGTGCCAAAAAATTGTCACCGGACCGAACCAGATTGAGAGCAAGCTCACTCAATGGTGGGTGGTAGGCGCGTGTTACCGAATCCTGTCGTGAAGGGCTAAGCAACCGAGAGCTTTTCACGTGAAAGTTCTCCTTAACGGAAACCTGGTGACTTTGAGGTGGTTGAAGGTGGTATAACGGACCCAAATGTCTGTCAGAAAAAGAAAAAATTATTAAAGATAGGTTGTCAAAAAGCTAAGGATGCAACGCCTTCTAAATTAGTCGTAAGAACAGCACTGACAAAGAAAGCTTCGACGCGTTGATTACCATTTCAATCCAAATGATTGCCCAGAGAAGTATCAACGCCCAACTTACAAGACCATTTGTGGATGGATGCCGCAAGGCTTCTGAGCTAGAATGTTGGTCTTTCTCTAACTAACAATAATTAACAATGAATAAAATATAGTTCATCCTGCCTTCGCAGGCAATTTTGTGGATCCACTGAGACGTACGCAGCTCGAACTTCAGCAATAACTTTGTGCGTCATTATGTCACATGTACTGATCCTCCGGATTTAGTAATTTCATCCACCGCCAGTGTTCAAACCAAAGCGTCCAGCTTTTCCGGTGCACATCTGTCATGCTATCTGATGGCTGAACGGAGGCTGAGATAATGTCAGGTTGTCCAAGCCTATACAGGAACAATATAGATCCACAGGTTGTGTTCGAATCGTGGACCATTCAGGTAGTAAGTTCGCGCCTTGACCACTGAGCTATCTTGAAGTGAAACCAAATAATTTACCGTTGATTCCGTTTTTCGGACTACTGTTCTAATAACTCCTGCCGTTCACTTTACACTCGTAAACGTATTCACTCCGCCGCTTATGCTGTGGACGACTTTGGAGGTTTACCACTGCTATCCTTGTCTTTCGGAGGATCATCCGGTTTTTCTTTGATATACTGATCAATCCAGGGGAACGACCGACCTATGAATGACTTGACCATGATAGATCCTCGATACACACATCATAGAAAGACTTGAGGATACAACCCAGATTGGTCGATGCTAACACCAATACAAATGGATCACCTAATAGTACCAAAACGTTTGGAGAGAGGCTGTTGTCCAAGGAGACATTTGTTTTGTAACCTATTGATTGCTGATCAATTGGCTGTAGATCTGTACGCCGAGCTTGGAAGTTGGCTTGCATGTTGCATCGAAGTGGTGGCCGAGCTTGCAGGCTGAGTTGGCTAGGATTTTGTTCCTTAAAGGGCAACCGTGCAAGGAAGGCCAAAATGGAGCAGTCAGATAAAGAACATCAAGCCCTACACTGCGAGCAATCATGATGAGCTTGGGGCAAATTCATGTTCTCCCATGCGATAGGTATGAAGGCACTAAAGTGTTTCCTTTAAGAGTTTAGCATTTCGACATCTATGGAAGTAATGATGCTGCTTGCGAGTGAAGGGTTAACAAAAACTCAGTCCCGAAAACCTCACACGGCGTTAGCTCAACGGTTGACTGTGGCCGTCCACATACTTATAAAATTTACAAGTCTGATGCTGATTGAAAAGGGCGTGCAGTGCATGCCGGCATTATGAATCAGAAAATTATGATTCACTCGCTGCGCTCTCGGGTTAGACAAGCTCGCAGTAGCGACTACCTCGGGTCGGGATCTCAAAGAAATCCCTAAGGACTGTTCCTCCGCGGGTCAGATTATTCATTCCCGGGTTGCAGACACGAACTCGGAACAAAACCTACATTTCCGCCGCCTTATGGGTCAGATTTTTGGGGAAAAGCCTAGGATGGGTTATTTCAATCCCACTCTTGGAAGCATGAAGCGTAGGGATGACGCCAAAAATCCTCTATGTATGAGGTTCAAATCCAACTACTGTTCCTGAAATTACAGTCTAGGACAGTTCATCTCCATTACTCTTTAGTCTCCAAGCGTCAATTGATTCAGAATAGGTGTCCGTGCATCCAGTAAGAGAACTAAGGACGCTCTGTTCGATCGGATTCCCGTGAACTGCAAATGTGTATATTCCGACTGACCGAGTCTGTTGGAATCCGTAACCAGGGACAACAAACCCGAAGTCTACCCGTTATCTCTCCCTACGGACCAACAAAATTCAACAGTGACACCATCAAAGACGTCCTTTATGAAGAGAATTATTGACTTCTGTGGATGGAAAGGCACGCGGATTCTACCACTCTGGACAGAATCGATGAGCATGAAATTCGATTCCGGAAAAGATGTTAAAATACTTCCAAAGTTTACAAAGTTAGTCGCACCATGTAACGATGGATTGACAAACTTTCAACACTAACTTCCACATCGCTATATCTAATCATTCGAGCACCCAGACTGATCGCAGGGTAACTACATGGAGATGGCGGTCTTGCGTTCAATGCTGTTGCTCCTTTTTGGACAAGTATAAGGATACAGATTAGCCCGATGCCCGAGTCAGTGTTGCAGGTCGCTTCCATGACCAAGAAGAAAAGCGTTTAACAATATGGTGTTCACTGCATGCATGATACACTCATCAAAGAAGTTTACCAGCAGCAGCTTTCAAGAGAGTTCTCGAAAGCAAAGCAAACCGACTAGTCAAGTGAAGGTGGAATAGTATTCAAAACGCTGAGTTCGGTGTTTGATTGCGTGCTTCTCAGAACAAAGCCGCAGTCCAATCCAAGCAGGAGCTCACAACGGGTGAAAGAGCTGAATGTGGAAATCACCAGTCTAGTCACTATCGTTCCCAGATATCATCCCACATGGGGTTACCAGCAATCAAGGTTCGTGGAAAAAAAGAAGGCTTCCGTCGGGATCGTGAACCTGTTGGCCACATCTTTACATTGCGACAGCTTTTCAAACAGTGCGACATATGTATAAAGTCAATATTTGTTGTCTTCTCAGCGTTCCACTTGATTGGTCACGCTGCTTTGTGACGACGCCTCTCCGTCGATTTTCAACAAACTTCACCGATCCCTATATCCAAACACCCGTGGTCTCATTAAGAGTGAGTATTCTTCCGTTCGTCAACTTTTTGGTCGAAATAATTTGTAGAATAAGCCGTCATGTCTTCTACCCACGACAGGGAAATTCTTCCGGTAGAGATTCCAGGCATTTGCAGTATACAGAAGATATTGCCCTACTTGGTTCTGATTCCATCCGAGCATGCAATAAAAAATAATCTCAATAACGTTATCATGTGGTCTGTGCCTTCGAAGTGCAGCCATTGCACGAGTGAATTAGTGCACCAGACAAGCTGGTCACACCAGCTTTGATCAGAACCATTACAGTTAAGGACAAATTTAACTGGCTACGTTGTCACGTCATCATGCTTGATCACATCGGATGGTGTAACTTAACAGTAAGTGAATGGTGGAGGTGCTAAAGCTCGTCTTACTTTCCTTCAACCGGGACATCTTCAGGGTCGAAAAAACACCAACCAGCCTGTACTCTAAAGGCAGAGCTTACAACGCGACAGTGTGACTGACGTTGTGAAGAGAAGACCGCTTGTCTATGGTCACTGGACCTTATGAAGTAGTACACATTCACTATGAGAACACAAGATGGGTAATACTGAAGTGCAAAGAATGACTTTCAGTAATAAACAAACTGCTTGTCTAATTGATTTGACTGGTTAAGCGCTGCGTATGACAGGTGATCGACTGGCTGTTTGCACAAGCGGATTCCGATTCGACTGAAAGGTATCATAGACAAATGATTTGGGGGTAGTTGGCGGCGTAATAATGTCAGGAAACCTGCGGCGTTGTTGTACTCGTGACCATCAGACTACTAATTTGGTTTTAGTTTTCGGTCTCTACCGTTCAATTCGATCCAGCTGTCAGGATCTGAAACGACCAGATATACAGCACAAGACCACAGTCTTCTTTATACCACGTGCCCCATAGCTGACACGGTTGGCTGACCTTGATAAAACTGTCAGCTACTCCTGTGGCTAAGGTCACACTGTATTCGTGTGCTTGCAAGACTGAAGGATGCCTTGTTCATCCGAGGTACGCGGCCCATCAAAATTGCAGAACAATGGTGCAAATCAGTTTTCAAATTATTTTTCCCAGACTTACTTGAAAATCAGTTCGTACATGACGTCTTCGCAGTGAAAGCTTAAAATCGTCCGAAATAACGACAGCGTGACCATCCCGAGCTGAAAGAGCGAATGAAACAAAATTACATAGCAGAATATGGGAAACTTTTCTGCGTATGAGACTACGGACAGGTTAACTAAAGAATGTAGTGGAGATCAACACACCAAAAACCCCGCAGGTAAGGCAACAGATTTACATCGAACTTTTGAAGTCCTTACCACGGAAGGGGAAGATCTCTGCAAAAGAGTGACGACCTAACACAAAATCATGCCCGTTTCTGTTTTGAAAAGGTTAAATACGGATTTACGCTGAACCTTGATCGGGAATGGACATAGGTGGTACACCGGGTGCTGAGAAGAAACACCGCAAACTAGACGATAACACCGAATATAAAACGATTGCGCGCATATGACGTACCCCTAAATCAGTCTGACCTAGTAGGCCATTGAGTACAAGACAGCTGATTCCACGCAGTCCAGAGGACTATTAGCCGTCCGTCCTTTCGAAATTTGGAGAATAGCTAAAGGTGCTAACCTTTGACTAACGTTCCAGCTGAGTAAGACCACAATACGTGCAACTGTTCTACATAATTCAATTCAGTGATTCAGGATGCGCGAAAACAAATCCCAAGATCCCGAAATGGGCGATGAAATTGATTTGTTCTCTGCATAGAAAAGGTGAGTCGGATGCAAATTTGCTAGATCTCAATCATTTAAGCCGAAATTTCTAGACCTGGGGACTCACTTGGACCAGTTGTACCTGTATGATTAGAGAAAGATAACCTGGCTTGCAACTCGAAAAGTGATTAGATTATCATTGGCATCATTGGCATGAAAGATCATTGTGACGCTGTCCCTAAGCTTAGTCTCAGTACCATCGGTAATTTCATTTCCAAAGAGTGGAATGTCAGTTCTCCCTGCACGGGTCAAGGGGGCGGTCGGAGCAATGATAAAATATACGAAAATCTCCTCTCTATAGTATGTTGAGTATTTTTATGACTGAAATCAGGTTGATACCCATATGTTCATAGCTAACGGTCGGCTTTATATGTCTCGTTGATCAGTGATTTTGCGTTTATTGTGTTACTCTATGAAGCTGTGCTTCTCGAGTGTTAAAGGTGCACGCATGTACATGTTGATGTGGTGCATTCTCTCAAAAGCCGATCGTAATCATCAGATAGCTATGAAATGAAAGGACGAATAGTGTATCATTTGTCATGGATATGCACAAATACATGGCCGTTTAAACCGGAAGCCGATGTAAGGGCCAGAATATAAGACAACGCATCAAAGCGCCTATTCACTAAACACGGAGAGTGCTAAACAAGTACAGTAGCTCCACCATAAGCAGAACGCCCGGTTGATGTGTGCAGCTAATAATCAGTAAATTTTGTTTTCAACCAGATGTGACCAATGTAATCGGCTTAGGATGACCAGAACAATCAAAATTTTCAAGATAAGACAATAAACTTCAACCATGTTTTACACAGCAACGATCGCTCGAATTCAGTCTTACCGCGACATGTAAGTGAGCAATCGATTCATCTACCATTCAAAACCTATCACTGCTAGCTGAAGACTAAATCAGATAACACGGCAGATTTGTGAAGGTTTCGTTTCGCTGAGTCACCCAGACTTGTGAACTCAGTTGAAGAGGATCGTCTAGCACATTTAAGGAGATTGGACAATACACAGATGATCAAAGGTAAATATCAAACGATGGTTCGGAGGGTCGACGGTTCGAACCTAACCGTCGATTGCTCCTGTGTAGGCTTGGGCAACCTGACAGTATCTCAGCCCTCGTGCTTCCATCGGAATGCATGGCAGCTCGGAACCGAAAGGATGTTACGCCTAGACGATAAGCACTGTTATTATCAGACGACGGATTTTATGGCTTTGGTTTCAGTATACATCGGTTCACTTTGAGAGTGCCGCATCGGGTTAGAAACCATCCAAAGACAACGCGGAAATGGGATTATTCCTTATTGTGTGTTAAAGCCTTCAGAAAATGAGCGAATAAAAATTCAGTGAGATGAGTGGAGTAGTTTGAAATGGATGTTGGTGGAAGAATAGCCTAAAGTAGTGCACTTCTGAGTTGGAATAATTTAAAGATGTTACGACGAACGGACATTTGCAAGTTCATCCAGCGGCTTTGTTCTTTCGGGTTTTTACCTCGGATTCACAAACTCATCCACAGTAACACATCCGGCTCCACGCAGACCGTTTGCGTTATCGTAACTATGCGCAGTGGTCCAAAGCAAACCAAAAGCGACATAATTACAGAAACATCCCATGGTGCTGTTTCGCTGTGAGAAAGCTCGATTACATTTTCCGACCCACTTTCCTCAAAACTCCATAAACTACTTAGCAACACTTCTGATAAGTGCATGAATAACATTTGACTGGAGATTCCTAATTCAGACAGACGAGAAACTCTGTTTAGGAGTCATAAACGGTTGCAACATTCTACATCGGCGGTGTTAGTATGTTAGTATACTCTAGAGGATCTGAGTTGGCTGGAGACAGTTATAACAAAAACACGAGGATGACGTGCAGCCTTTGGAAATGTTGAGTGAAGAGAACATACATTACGCAGTAATATATGAGTCTGTTGAATTTCACCGTTAACCATGTTTGTGTGTGCAGCAAATTTTTGATGACTTCTGTTGTCAAGAAGAAGCCTTGCAATAATGATGCACGTGCGCGACATGCACAGTTATAGTCACATCAACTATTCTACGAATCGGCAGGATACAAGGCACGTTTATGAACCCAAAGACGGTCACATTAGACATCCTCCCTTAGTTGCAGACACGAACAGCGCCCATTTTGTGCCGTATACTCTGCAAGGCTAGTATCCACGGTACGGGCAATGCTTTGCTAACGTTGCAAGCTTTCCCTTTTGTGACATTTGTCGAACGTATTTCATTATAAGTCAGCTTAAGAGCACTGGATGCCTACCTATAACCGATTGAAGCAGATTTCAGATGTAGACATAAAGTGAATTAGGGGAACCGCGGCTGGCTCGTAGGTACTTCATGCTTTCATGTAGATTTAATGGCCTCTAGATATATTGATCGAAAAATTGCGGAAATCACCCTTGAACGATTGTGAAAATTGCACAAAAATTTGTGTATCATCCAGCTTATGCCTCCATTATGCGGAGATACTGCTAAGTAGCTTAATTAATTTTTAGTTCACTTCACAGATTTGCTGATTAGCATGATATGGGACACGAAATTGCTTAGGAGACAGGCTACCCGGGTATTAGATCAAGTTTGACTGCAATGCTTGCTGTCCTCGTATTAAAATTGACACTTGTTAGGTGATTTGTCCACATCTCGAGCACCCAGAACCTGGTGCGCTCATAATCAGAAACATGTGACACTAACCAATATGTACATCCGGTAGAACTACACCTGGTACCTATTGACAGTACATTCATACGCTTACATATCTTTTACTGAGTAAACGATCTCCGTCTATCGTTAACGCCCTAGGAAGCCCCCAGCAAAAACCAAGAGCAGAAACGGGCCATCCCTCCTGAGGAAGGTAACTGAAATGTTCAAGTGGCGATGCCATTAAAACCGTTTCAAAAACTACCTCAACCGGTGACCGCCGGAGCAGGCATTTTTGTGCGCCAACTTCATTATTTTCACCTGAACTGTTCCCGGTCTTTGAAGATGTCCACATCTCTCCTGATAGTAACGCTAGGACAGCGGCTGTGGATCTCGACAGCCAAGATCAGAAGGATAGAATTTTGGACTTTGGTGGGTTTGATGTGAATTTTCCATACCTTGTAACCACATGACAAAAGATATATTGCGAGGATGAGGCAGGACGGACAGCTCATTTCTGACGCGAATATCTGGATATAATCAGGTGCACTAAGAATCAACGGCAAACGGCGAAAGCACTTGTACGAATAGGAATCACAATCACCATGAGCAAAGACTAGTGCAGTGTCAAACAGGCCATTCAAAGCTAGTGCAACTACAAACGAAGGTGTACAATGTTCAATGAAGAATAGTGAGAACATGTCAAAACAATCCAGATGTAGAAATCCACGTAACAATAAGCTTCACATATCGTTGTTGATCGAACCACATATACCCCAGATGAAACGCACAGGATACCCGTCGAAATCAATGACCACCCTCCATGACAAAGTGGCCCCTTCGCAAAAACCTTTGGAGATGAAACAGCTCACTGGCTTGATATAACGATCGTTCCCATTAAGTTTGTGGTAAAAATTTCACCTCAGTTTGTGATACAAATTTGATGGTTACCGGGCCATCTTCATAGTGCACATTATGGGTGTACGTCGACTCACTAAATAACCAATGCAACGTGCTCAGTTCCTGGTTTGTTGTGGGTAGATTATTGAGAAAAAGGCTTACGGGGCATGTTGATGGGACTGCAACCCTGGGTTCGAAATAGTGGCGATTGTAGTAGCGTTTAGATCAATAACACAACTTCAGCCACAGCTTGTTGGTCTAAAAGCAAACCTGGATGACGCGCCTGACAACAGGGCGCGACAGATCAAAGCACAACCTAAATGAGGACAAATACACCGAGCACAAAAACCTTTGGAAAGTAAGTTCTCCCCAAACGGACTTATTTTTGTTCCGAAAACACTCCTCGTGAAAACTTGCCTCACGGCAAGTTCTCGCCTCATAATGGAACTATCCAGAAGGATCCCACTTGCAAATGGTGTTTGGTTAAGGGACTCTGCTGGTAAACTTTACGGATGGATCGTGAAGTCCATCGCACCGTGTAATAACAGCGTTTGGGAGACCAGACGATCAGAAAGATGACAAGCCCAAGCACCACTTGTCTACAGCTGTTAATCCAACGAAGTCAAATCCGACTGTTTGGACATGTTCTCCGCCACCCGTTGACTAGCACAATCAGATCATTACAAACACCAAACCTCACAAAGATTGGCCTAGTGGTCGAAATCTGGATCGACATCTTTGGGAGCCTTGAAAACAATCGCCTTGTGTTACGACTAAGGAAATCCAAGAAACTGGTTTATCCTCCAGCAAAGGATGACCAAA